GGGGTGGGGGTTCTAAAGCTTACCAGATGGTGAGAAGCCACCACGATGAGGGGGAGGGTCCTAACAACTGCAAAATCTTTATTTCCAGGTGTACCCTCTGGGATTTTGTGTGTGTGTGTGTGTGTCTGTGTGTGTCTGTGTGTGTCTGTGTGTGGCATTAACTTGCAACTGAAGTGTGATCTGTACCCAGGGGGGGTTATCAGAAACACTCAAGTATATGAGGAAACATCTGGTGCTGAACAGACCCCAGACGTGCACCATGTGAGCAGTGTCACCTCCCATGCTGTTAGCAAAGGGACAGAATCTCTTCCTGCCTGAGCTGAAATGCTTCATGACCCTACCTCAGCCTGGAAGGCATTCATGTCAGTTTCAACTGGCTGGCCACAACTGTATGGACCACAGAGCGTGCCATAGCCTTCTTCCACGCAGACCAAGGCACAGTCTGGGCAAATATTAATATACACTGCCACAGCCGGTTTGCCGCCTTGGCCAGGTAAAAGGTGAATGGAAAAACGTGAAGAGCATATAGCTTCTCGCATACAGACCTGTATGGTTCAAGACTAAAACAAAATGACTGAGGAATGGCACATACACAGAAAAACTGGCCAGAAGTCAGAAATAAAATGAGTGGTACTGTGGGACTGTAGGGAAAATAAATTTTATGTTACTGCACAGTTAGGCCTTCTTGAGCAAATCTCAATAAAACTTGGAACTTAAGGTGCAAGAAGGAGGCTTGAAAAGTAATTTATGACTAATGAGATAGGGACACACTCTTAATAGATTTATATTTCAGTGGGCATGCTGGACCTGGGACCCTGATGCCATCCTGGGTATACAGCTGGAGACAGGGGCGCCTAGATGGCTCAGTTAGTTAAACGTCCAATTCCCAGTTTTGACTCAGGTCATGATCTCACGGTTCATGAGTTTGAGCCCCATGTGGGGTTCTGCACTGAAAGCATTGAGCCTGCTTGGGATCCTCTCTCTCTTCCCCTCCCCACTTCAAAATAAATAAATAAACCTTAAAAATACATACACACATACACATACATAGCTGGAGACAATGGTCTTCTTTTTCCCTGAAGAAATTTATTTATAGTCCAAAGGGTCAGAGTGTGAACTCTGGCTCCTTCCAAAGGGAGCAAAGGTTCTCCTCTCTCCTTTAGAAAGGACAGGGGGACAACTACCTCTCTCCTCCATGCAAGCACCCTGACTCATTTTATCAGTGTTCTGCACCCGAGATACCAACTGTAAACGTACGTGCAGGACCCCTGGTTTCTGTCTCACTGCCCCGAGAGTAAGAAGTTGAGGTACACCGGAACCACAGAGTTATCACTTGGTTTCTGCTCTATTCCAGAAACCTCGTGTACTGTATTTATGGTAAAATTAACAAAGATAAATAGTAAAAATTTAACAGTCTGAAATTTACAATCTCCACCAAGAGATAACTTCAGACCCAATGGGTGAAAATTGGTGAAATCTTTCAGACACTAAAGATATAACATAATCTCACATAATATCATACATAGAAAAGTATGAAACACTGCCCAGCTCATCTTACGAAGGTAGTATAGTCTTCGACCCCAAACCTGAAACGACTACGATGAAGGACAATTATGGGATAATAGCTCTCATGAACACATGCACAGAGAACCCTACACAAAATAGTGAAAAGCCAAATTCAGTGATTATAACAGCAAAATACATTATGATCAAGGAGAACGTATTTCAAACATATCAGGTTGGTTTAACACTTGAAAATCAATCAAGATTATTCACCCTATTAACAGAATAAATACGAAAGAAGTATGACTATCTGAATACATGCAGAAAAAGCATTTGACAAAATTCAATACTCAGTCATGATCTAAAAAATAAAAACCTCTTAGCAAATTAGGAATAGAAGAGAACTTCTTCAAAATGATAAAGGACATTTATAGAAATCCTTCAGGTAAAGTCAAAATCAATAATAATATACTCTTGACCCTGAAGTCAAGAACAAGACAAAGATGTTCACCTTCACCACTTCTGTACATTGCATCACTGCCATTCTTAGCCAGTACAATAAGCAAAGAAAGAAAACATAAACATTAGGAAGGAGAAGTAAACTTGTCTTTATTCCTAGAGAACACAATTGTTTACCTACAAAATTTTTAAAAATCTATAAAACAACTACCAAAATAAGTAAATTTAGCAAAGTTGCAGGATACAAAGCCAGTGTGCAAGTTAACAACTGTTTTTCTATACATTAGCATTAAACAACTGGAGAATAAATAGCATGAATAGCATAAAGTTAAAAATGAAAATACTATAAGAAAATATAAAAATATTTAAGAACATATTTATTAAGAGGCACCTGACTCAGAGGGGCATGTGACTCTTGATCTTGGGGTCGTAAGTTCAAGCCCCATGCTTGGCATGGAGACTGCTTAAATAAATAAAACCTTAAAAAAAGATATATTTAATGAAAGATGGGAAAAACTACTAAACTGCAAACTACAGAATCAGGAAGAAATTAAAGAAGACAAAGCAGAGTTATACCATGGTTATGGATTGGAAAACTCAGTATTACGAAAATGTCTATTTTCTCCAAAATGATCAGTGCAATCCCAAAAAACTCTAAAAAGGATAAGTGTAGGTGTAGGGTGTGTGTGTGTATTTGTACAAACTGACAAGGTGCTTTTAACATGTACATAAAAATGGAAAAGCTACTAGTGGAATGCATTGTCCATAATACCTGGCAACACAAAAATTATTTTAATATATTTTGTAGATTAAAAGTGTTCTTGGAAAAAATAAAAAAATTAAAATGTTCTTGGGGCGCCTGGGTGGCTCCGTTGGTTAAGCATACAACTTCAGCTCAAGTCATGATCTCATGGTTCGTGAGTCTGAGCCCCGTATGCTGGGCTGTCAGCACAGTGCCTGGAGCCTACTTTGAATTCTGTGTCTCGCTCTCTCTCTGCCCCTCCCCAACTCCTGCGCTTTCTCACTCGCTCTCTCTCTCTCAACAATAAACATTTTAAAACATTTTTTTAAATGTTCTTAAGAAGTAAATATATAAATCTAACAAAAATGGGGTGTCAGGATGGCTTAGTCGGTTAAGTGTCTGACTCTTGGTGTCGGCTTGATCAACCTGATCTCAGGGTTCCGTGAGTTCAAGCCCCAGGGTGGGCTCTGAACTGGCAGTGCAGAGCTGGCTTGGAATCGGATCTCCTCTCTCTCTGCTCCTCCCCTATTCATGCTGTATCCGTACCTCTCAAAATAAATAAATACATAAATAAATAAAACTAAAAAGATGTTCTTGGCAACTTTCTGTATTTGTATTATAGCCAAGCAACCCTGAAGAAAATAGTCAGCCCAGGGGCACCTGGGTGGCTCAGTCAAACGTCCAACTTCCGCTCATGTTGATCTCACCGTTCGTGGGTTAGGGCTCGCATCAGGCTCTGTGCCGACAGCTAGCTCAGAGCCTGAAGCCTGCTTCAGATTCTGTGTCTCTCTCTCTCTCTGCCCCTCCCCTGTTCATGCTCTGTCTCTGTCTCTCAACAATAAATAAATGTTAAAAAAATTTTTTTAATTTAAGAAAAGAAGAAAATAGCCAACCCAGAAGGCTAACACTGCCAGATGTCGTAACTTATAATTAAGTTATAAAAATAAAAGGCAGTGTATTGTCGTGAAGATGGATAAACCAGCCAGTAGAACAAATCAGAAAGCCCAGAAACAAAACCACAAGTCATACGCTTCAGAATAAGACAAGACATAACTGAGAAAAGATTTCAATAAATACATACATCTGTCAAAAATTCATATCCAAGATACATATTAAAACTTCTAGAATTCAGTAAGACCAATAACCCAATAAAATAATATCAAACAAAAGACCTGAACAGTTACTTTGTTAAAGGACATTCGAAAAGCCAATAAACATATGAAAGGATGCACAACATCGTGAATCAGCAGAGAAATGGGAATTAAAACCTAATGTGATGGCACAATACAAACACTAGAATGGCTACAATTAATTAGGCTGACAATACCAAGTGCACACAATGATGAACATTCCTAGTGGCAATATAATTTACTACAACCATTTTAAAAAACTAAAAAATACTGATAAATATGTAGCTACTCTGTAACCAGCAGGTCCATTTTTGATCATACATGTAACAGACATAAGAGTTTAGGGGGTGCCTAGGTGGCTCAGTAGGGTGAACATCCAACTCTCAATTTCAGTTCAGGTCATGACTTCATAGTTCATGAGATCGAGCCCTGCGCTGGGCTCTGTGCTGACAACATGGAGCCTGCTTGGGATTCTCTCTCTCTCTCTCTCTCTCTCTCTCTGCCCCTCCCCTGCTCACATGCATGTTCTCTCTCTCTCAAAATAAATGAATGAAATTTAATACATATAGAGACAGATATAGATATAGACATATAAATATGATTTCAAAGATTTTAAAACAGTTTATTTCCTCCAAAAGACACACACAAGACTATTTATACCAACGTTTCTCAAATACTTTAAAACTCAAAACAAACAGGTTTCAAAACAAATATGTATTCTTAATATGTAGTATAAAAATAACGAGATAAACTCTGGGAAAGTCACAACAGAATGCTACACAGCAATTTAAAACATTAAACTAATCATAGACAACATGGGTGTTTCTCAAAAACATAATACTGAACCAAAGAAGCCAGATGCTATCTATACACACACACATATAATATACACATGGTCTACATAAAAATATATAGCTAGTATATCTTAAGATGTGTGCACTTAACTCAATATAATTTATTCCTTTTGTATATAGAAGTGACACTGGGAGATTCTGGGTGATTCAGAGACACTGAATATTTGAGTCAAGCCAACATGCTGCTTCTAAAGGCCTAGAGCCTCTACAAAGTGATTCCTGAAGACCAGTTCAATGGTCCTAAGCTCTGAACTAACCCTCTGTCATCTAATTTCCTCCTAAACTCCAACTGACTCGCACTGACTGACTCACCTGGGTCACTCTGGTCTGGGGACTCTAATATCCATGGCTCCTCTCCTTGCTCCAACTTGAGGATCACTTCTGGTTTAGGAATGGATAACCCTGTGAATAGGAAGTGTATGACACGGGACAAACTGGATGAGTTTCAGGACTTCTGAAGGTGGACAACACTGTAATTCCAAGACGACACAATAAAACAATGTTAATTTAATCCCTGTTATGGGACAGAGAAAAACAAATTCCTTGTGACAACCAGAAGGGATAAATCATCCTTGGTCTCCGAATTCCAAAGCTAAATATTATTATATCCTACAAAAACTCTACAGGTTTCTGTAAATACAAAAAGGCGCATGCACATACAGGACGTCTGCCTGAGAAACAAGCACTACCTACCCACTGACACAAGGTGGCTGTAGTTCTCCAGCATCACGTCCCTGTACAGGGTCCTCTGAGCAGGGGCCAGGCGCTGCCACTCCTCCTGAGTGAAGCCCACAGTCACATCCCCAAATGACAATAATCCCTGAAAAAGTACATTTTCTGTTCAGTCTGAAGTAGTCAGAATCAGGAAATATGAAAAAAAGATGTTCAAAGACCAATTCTTACCTTTTTTCACTGTGGAAAATTGACCAGAAAATGTTACTAACCTCTACTATATAGCTTGTTTTGTGTTTTACTTTGTAAGTAAAACAGAGATCAGAGTAGAAATACCACTGGTCAATCCATTTATTATTTAATGCAAAAAATCTGAGTGCACACATATACTTGGGACTGTCCTAGTTTCTGAGAATTCCAAGTGGAATAAAATACTCTTTCCAGGATCAGGGAAGTTTTTTTCCTAAGGAAACATAAAGATATACCTGCCACAGGACTTAATGAATACACACCTAAGAAGACATCAAGTTTATATATCAGGCTGATTCTTGGCACAAAAACAGCCTACAACCATGAAGCAACAAATAAGTAAAAAGAAACAAAACAGCAAGAAAATATAGTAAACGCTGCAGGTAGGGGAGAGTCTGATTTCCAAGCTACCATATTATTAGATGCAAATACCTACTGTTTAATAAAAAAAAATCACAAGGTATACAAAGAAAATAGGAAACTATGAAACCATAAAATACCTAGAAAAAACAGAGGTGCTAAGTTCCTTGACACAAATGATTTTAGATTTGACACCAAAAGCAAAAAACAACAAGAAAGAATAAATAAATAGGACTATATCATAATGAAAATGTTTTGCATGCCAAAGAAAATCATCAGCAAAAACGGAAAGGCAATCTACTGAACAGAAAATATTTCTGTGTCATATATCTCATATCTCATAAGGGACTAGTATTCAAAATGTATAAAGAACTCACAGAACTCATTTGCAAAAACAATACCTAAACAGACATTTTTCAAAGAAGATATACAGGTTTATAAAAAAGATGCTCAACATCATTAATCATTAGGGAGATGCAAATCAAAACCACAATGGTATTACCTCATATCTGTCAGAATGGCTATCAAAAACACAGGGAGGAAAAAGCGTTAACATGGATGCAGAGAAAAGGGAACCCTTGGGCACATGTGGTAGGAATGTAAATTGGTGCTATGGAAAACAGTATGGAGGCGCTCCAGAAAGTTAATAGTAGAACTACCATATGATCCAGCCATTCCACTTCTCAGTGTTTACCCCCAAAAAATAAAAACATTAACTCAAAAAGATACATGCACCCCCATGTTTACAGCAGCATTATTTACAATGTTCAAGATATGGACACAACCTAATTGTCCACTGATGAATGAATGCATAAAGAAACTGTGGTATGTATATACAATGGAATATTATTCAACCATAAAAAGAATGAAACCTTGTCATCTGCAACAACACGGACAGACTTTATGGCATTATGTTAAGTGAATTAAGTCAGAAAGACAAAGACAACTCTCTTGTATGTGGAATATTAAAAAAAAAAAAAAAGCTCATACAAAGAACAAATTTGTGGGGGGTTAGGTGGTAGAAAGAGTGAAGTCTTTTTAGTTTAAAAAAAAAATGTCTCGGTGTGCCTGGGTGGTTCAGTCGGTTAAGTGTCCGACATTGGCTCAGGTCAGGTCATGATCTCACAGTTTGAAAGTTCAAGCCCCAAGTCAGGCTCTGTGCTCACAGCTCAGAGCCTGGATCCTGCTTTGGATTCTGTGTCTCCATCTCTCTCTGCCTCTCTCCCACTTGTGCTCTGTCTCTCTATCTGTCTCAAAAATAAATAAACATTAAAAACAAAACTTAAAAAAAAAACCGTCTTAAAGAGAACAAGAAAAATATAGTATTTTTTATGAACATTGATATAAAAAATCCTCAACAAAGTATTTCCAAACAGAATTCAACAGCACAGTAAAAGGATTATAACATTTCACAAAAGCTATAGTAATCAAAACATATGATACTGGCACAAGAAAAGACAAAAATCAATGGAAGAGAATCAAGACCCCAGAAATAAACCCATAACTATGGTCAATTGATCTATGACAAACGACACAAGAATAAACACTGTGAAAAAGACAGTCTCTTCAACAAGTGGGGCTGGGAAAACTAGACAACTATATGAAAAGACTTAAGCTGGACCACTTTCTTACACTATATACAAAAAGAAACTCAAAAGGGATTAAAGACCTAAATGTGAGACCTGAAATCATAAAACTCCTAGAAGAAAACTACAGCCATGGAGCACCTGGGTGGCTCAGTTGGTTAAGTGTCTGACTGCAGTTCAGGTCAGATCTTTCAGTCTGTGAGTTCGAGCCCCGCATTGGACTCTGCTGACAGCTCAGAGCCTGGAGCCTGCTTCAGACTCTGTATCTGTCTCTCTTTTGGCATCGCCCCTCTTGCACTCTGTCTTGCTCTCAAAAATAAACATTAAAAAACAAAAAAAAACAAAAAACAAAAACTATAGCCAGTAACTTCTTTGACATTGGCCACAGAAACATTTTTCTAGATATGTCTCCTCACGCAAGGGAAATAATAGCAAAAATAAACTGTTGCAACTACACCAAAATAAAAAGCTTTTACACAAAGAAAACCATCAACAAAACAAAAAAGCAACCCAGGAAATGAGAGAATATATCTGCAAATGATATATCCAATAAAGAGGTTAACATCCAAAATACATGAAGAGCTTACACACCTGATTAAAGCAGACATACAGGGGTGCCTGGGTGGCTCAGTCAGGTAAGCATCCAACTTCGGCTCAGGTCATGATCTCACGGTTCGTGGGTTCAAGCCCCGTGTTGAGCTCTGTGCTGACACCTCAGGGCCTAGAGCCTGCTTCAGATTCTGTGTCTCCCTCTCTCTCTGCCCCTCCCCCACACCTACTTTGTCTCTCTAACCCTCTCTCTCAGACACATGAAAAGAGGCTCAACATCACTCATCATCCAGGGAAATGCAAATCAAAACCATAATGAGACATCACCTCACACCTGTCAGAACGGCTAGTATCAAAAAGAATGAGATCTTGCCATTTGTGACAAAATGGACGGACCTAAAGGTATTATGCTAAGTGAAATAAGTCAGACAGCACAAGAAAAATACCACATGATTTCACTTCCATATGCAATCTAATAAAACAAAACAAATGAACAAAGAAACAAAAAAGAGACCTGTAAATACAGAGAACAAACTGGTGGCTGCTAAGGGAAGGTGGGTGGGATATGGGTGAAACAGAGAAAGAGGATTAAGAGTTACAACCTTCCAGTTATAAAACAAATAAATCATGGAGATGAAAAGTACAGAACAGCACATAGTAATACTCTAATAATGTATGGCAATAGCTGGTGATGACACTTACTGTGGTAAGCACTAATATACAGAATTGTTGAATCAGTATGTTGTGCATCTTACATGAATATAAAATTGTATGTTAATTGTACTTCAATTAAAAAATAAAATAAAATAGGGGCACCAGGGTGGCTCAGTCGGTTGAGCAACCAACTCTTGATTTGGGCTCAGGTCATGATCCCAGGGTCATGAGTTAGAGCCCTGCATCACGCTCCACCCTGGGAATGGAGCCTGTCTGAGAGTCTGTCTTTCCCTTTCCTTCTGCCCCTTCCCAACCCATGCACATGCTCTCTCTCTAAAAAATTAATTAACAAAATTTAATTTAATTTAAAAAAAGGATTATACCATGACAAAGCATATCTATTCCTGGATGCACGGATGGTTCAACATACAAAAATTGATATAATACACCACATCAACACAGTGAAGGGAAAAACCACATGACAATCTAAAGTGACGTAGAAAAAGCATCTGACAAAATTCAACAATCTTTCATGGTAACAACATTCAACAAAATAGGAAAAGAAAGGAACTATCCCCACATAATAAAAGCCATGTATGTAAAACAACAACAACAACAACACAAAACCACACAGGAAAAACTATTCTCAATGGTGAAAAGATGGAAAGCTATTCCTCTCAGATCAGGAGTAAGGCCAGGATGCCTGCTTTTACCACTTGTCTTCAACACCGTACTGGATGTTCTTTCAGAGCATTAGATAAGAAAAAGAAATAAAAAGCATCTAAATTGAAAAGGAAAAAGAAAAAGCATCTGTGCAAATGATATAATCTTACATGTGGAAAAACCTAAAGACTCCACAAAAAAAGCTGTTACATCAACTAAATGAATTCAGTAAAGTAGCAAGATACATTCACACACAAAAATCAGTTGCATTTCTATATAGGAACAATGAATACATGATCTGGAAAGAAAACTGCTAAACCAATTCCACTTACAAAAGCATCAAAAATAAATCTTACAAACTAATGTAACTTAAGATGTAAAAGATTTGCACAATAAAATCTACGAAATAGTGCTGAAGGCATTAATAAATGGAAACACATCCCGTGTTCAGGGATTAGAAAACTTATTGTTAAAATATCAATACTACTCAAAGTGATCTACAGATGCTATGAAATCCTTAGCAAAATCTCAATGACACTTTTTGCAGAAATTAAAAAACTTAACCTAAAATTCAAAGAAATGAGAATATCCACAACAATCTTGGAAAAGAACAAAACTGGAAGATTACACTTCCTGATTTCAAAACTTAGTACAAAGCCACAGTAATCAAAACAGAATGGTACCAGCATAAAAAGTAAGACCAATGGAATAGGAAAGAGAATCCAGAAATAAACCCTCACACATACTGTCAACTGAGTTTTGACAAGATGATATCAAGACCACTCAAAGGGAAAATGACAGTCTTTTAACCAAATGGCACTAGAAAAACTAGCTAGTCACATGCAAAAGAATAAAGTTGGACCCTTACCTAACACCATACACAAAAATCAACTCACATCAAGTACCTAAATTTATGATCTAAGACAATGAAACTTAGAAGAAAATATAGGACAAAAGATACACAACATTGGATTTCGCAATTATTTCCTGGATGTGACATCAAAGGCATGGGTAACAAAGAAGAAATTGACAAACTTTTCATGAAAATTGGAATATTTTCACATCAAAAGATACTATCCACAGGGTTAAAAGTCAATCCACAGGATAGGAGAAAATATTTATAATTCATGTATCTGATAAGAGATTAATAACCAGAATATAAAGAGAACTCCTAAAATTCAGCAACAAAAACCCCAAAAAACTCAATTCAAAAAATGGGCAATGTACTCAAACAGGTATTTATCAAAAGAGGATATACAAATGGCCAATAAACATAAAAAAGATATTAAACATCATGAATGATTAAGGAAATACAAGTCAAAGGTACAGTAAGATTGCTACTATCAAAAACAAAAAACAACTGTCGGTGAGGATGGAGAGGAAACAGAACTCCCATGCACTGCTGGTGAGAGTGTAAAGCGGTACAACCACTGTCAAAAAAAAAAAATAGAGTTTTCAAAATTAAAACTAGAATTACCATATGACCCAGCAATTTTCCTTTGAGGTATATATCCAAAAGTAGGTCTCAATCAGATGTCCCTACACTCATTTTCAGAGCAGCATTATTATTCACAATAGTGAAAACATGGAAGCAACTCAAGTGTCCATGGACAGATGAATGGACAAGCATAATGTGTATATATGTATTATGGGATATTATTCAGCCTTAAAAATGGAAGGAATTCTTTTCTTTTTGGTATGCAAAAAGCAGAAATTTATTATTTCTTTTTTTTTAATTTTTTTTTACATTTATTTTTGAGAGACAGAGCATGAGCAGGGGAGGACAGAAAGGGAGGGAGACACAGAATCCAAAGCAGACTCCAGGCTCTGAGCTAGCTGTCAGCACAGGGCCCAATGTGGGGCTTGAACTCACGAATTGCGAGATCATGACCTGAGCCAAAGTCAGACACTTAACCAACTGAGCCACCCAGGCACCCCAGAAATTTATTATTTCTGAAAAAAAGAGATCAAATACAAAGTTAGATCACTTTAAAAATACAACAATTAAGATCTGTAGTTCAACATTTCTTTTGACAAATCATTAACATTAGTTTGAAGAAGAGTATACAAACATAAAATAAATAAGCAAAAACCTAAAGCATACTTTATGTACACAATAATCATAATAGAAAAAGATAAAAATATAGTTCTTACTAATCTATATCAGGATAGTGACCACTTTTTAAAATCAAAGCTAATAGTATATAGGAAACAAGGCAAAGATTCAGACATCAAAAGCAATAAACAAATAAACTTAGAGAAAAACATCAGCATCAAAAATGGAAAGAATTCTGCAATATGCTACAACATGGATGAATCTTGAGGACGTAATGCTAAGTGAAATAAGCCAGTCACAAAAGGACAAATACTACAGGATTTCACTTATATGAGGTACTCAGAGTTGTCAAAATTTTAGAAATAGGAAGTGTAACGGTGGTTTCCAGTGCCTGGAGGTAGGTGAGATTGGGGAGTTCTTGTTTAATAGGTATAGAATTTCAGTTTAACAAGATGAAGAGTATGGGGATGGATCATAGTGATAGACGCAGAACAATGTGAATGTACCTAATACCATTGAAGAGTACACTTAAAAGTGTTTCAGATGGTTAATTTTGTTATTTGTATTTTGCCAAAATAAAAAAGTAATAATGTACTGATATGTACTAAACATGGATGAACCCTGAAAACATGCTAAGTGAACAAAGCCAGACACAAATGGCCACTTGCTGAATGACTCCATTTGTAATAAATACTCAGAACAGATCAACCCATAGAGACAGAACACAAATTGTTGGTTGCCAGGGATTGCATGAACAGAAGAACAGGGAGAAACATCTTAATGGTTTTCAGTTATCTGCTTTCAACTAAGTTGAAAGAGAAACTAATCAGAGTTGTATTAAGAAAACAATTCCATTTACAACAGCATCTAAAAGAATAAAATACTTAAGAATAAATTTAAGAGTATGTAAGATTTGCACACTGAAAACTACAAAATATTGCTGAAAGAAAACGAAAGAAGACCTAAGTAAATGGAAAAACAGCTCACGTTCACGGATCGTAAACCATCCCCAAAGTGATATACAGATTCAATGCAATTCTTATCTAAATCTCAACAACTCTGGGTTTTTTTTGTTTTTTTGGTGTGTGTGTGTGGGGGGGGGTTCTGTTTTGTTTTGTTTATTTGTCTTGTAGAAATAGAAAGGCTAATCTAAAATTCACATGGACTTGCAAGGGACCTTGCTAAAGAACAGTTTCTAAAGTATAGTTACACAGTATGTTAAACATAGAATGAGCTATCTATTTTACTCCCAGGAAAGTGAAATAGGTCTTCAAAGAAAAACTTATCCATGAATGCTCACAGGAGCACTATTCTCAACAGACAAACATGGAATGAAGGACTATATATCGTATGACTCCCTTTGTATCAGATATCCAGAATAGATAAATCCACACACAGAAAGTAGATCAGTGGTTGTGAGGGGCTGGGGAAGCTGGGGAGTCATGTGCTCATTAAGTCATGGCACTGCTTACTAAAGGTATGAGGTTTCCTTCCCGTGTGATGAAACTATTCCGGTAAGAGATGGTAGTTATGGTTGTCCAACACTGTAAATGTATTAAGTACAACTGCGCTCTACACTTTAAAAAGGTTCAAGGTTGAATTTCATTCATTTACCACAATTACCACAATTTCATTCATTTACTACAATTTTCAGTTGTGGTAAAATACACATAATACATTATGTGACACAATGTCACCAAACGATATTTATCAAAAAACTTTTGTATGTCCCAGTTTCAAAACTCAGTAAGATCACAAGATGTGCGTTCATCTACAAGGCATCTTTGCCCTGCTGTATCAGAGGCCAACAAGCAGCACACCTTTTTGGTAAATGGCCACTGAGTAAGTATTTCAGGCTTGCCGAGCTATACAATCTGTCACAACCACTCAACCCTACCCCTGTAATATGAAAGGAGTAACATCTCTCCACAAATAAATGAGTGTGGCTGTGTTCCAATAAAACTTTAGAGACACTTAAATCTGAATTTCATATCACAAAAAAAATCACTCTTGATTTATTTCTGTTTAGCTTGTGGGCCATAGAAAAACAGGCCGCAGTCTGTATTTGGCCCATGTACTGTAACCCGTAGACTTGTACTCTATATTCTCCCTGGAGTTAACATATTTATTTCTACTATTTCAAATGAAGGTACAGACCTTTTATAATAAGCCTCACATAAATTTGATAAACCTCACATAATCATATTAGGCAAAACTGTGAATAAACGAACACTCACCTGGGATGTGATCATCTTCTGCTGGCTCTGGAAGAGTGTGGATCGCCAGGAGGGCACAGCTGAGAAGGAAAGACGGGTCAGGAGAGATTCCACCAGCCTAAAAAATCCCACGTAGCTGCTGGCAAAACACCTCTGAAGGGGAGATGCCTTGAGAAGGGGCAGAAAGGACAATAGAAAGGGAAGGAGTAGCCCAGGAACAACTCTGGAGTGCTGGGACACACATGCGAGTTTTTAAATATAAAAAGATTTGTTTTCGGGGTGCCTGGGGGCTCAGTAGGTGAGGCGAGAGACTCTCGATTTTGGGTTGTAGATTTGAGCCCCATGTTGGGTAGAGATGTTACTTAAAGATAAAACATTTAAAATAAATTTTGTTGGGGCACCTGGGTGGCTCAGTCTGTTAAGCATCTGGCTCTTGATTTCAGCTAAGATCATGATCTCACGGTTTGTGAGTTCGAGCCCCGCCACTGGACAGTGCAGAGCCTGCTTGGGTTTCTCTCTCCCTTTCTCTTTGTCCCTCCCCACGTTGTGCATGTGCTCTCTCTCAAAATAAACTTCAAAAAAATAAATAAAAATAAATTTTGTTTTCTACTGAGTTACCAACAATGTATACTCTAACCCAGAAAAATGTAAACAACACGATACACTAATAAAGCAAATCAGGACAAGCCAAGGAATGGAATATAGGGATTTCATAAAAACTGATGCTGAGCGAAAAACACTCAAGCTGTAATATTCGTTATATACCAGAGTGTCCCACTAGGTTTTGAATAAAGGGAGAGAATTTTAAGGGCTGATCTTTTTGTAAGGAAAAAAAAAAAAAAAGAAAGGTTGCTTTAACTCAGTTTCAGGTTCTCGAACCTAACTTTTGATTAAAAACAACCACCACAAACTGATTCTGACTTACTGGTTGCCAAAGCAGAAAACACCTGCCACAGCCATCAAGAGACTCCATGTCTGCTTTTGGTTTTGCCAGCACAAAATGTGTGACTATGAGCAGTCACTTAAAGTTTGAGACCCTTTTCCTTCCCAATGGCTATCCCACCCCCATCTTTAAGCAGAGCACAAAGAGATGAGACCTAAAGCCCTCTGCTGCAGTACCATCTCCGATTCTATCAGATCAGGAAGAGGGGGCATTCAGCCCATGGTTAGTTGAGCAAACGGCTCAGCATCTGGGGGTGGAGCAAAGAAAGAAAGGATGAAGAAGGTGGCTTTCTTCCCTGTGGCTAGCAAGCCCTCTCTTCCACATGTCTCCACAGCTACCCCACGAGCGGTAAGTATTTTTTGTTCCTTTTGCTTTACCCTCCTCTCCCAGTCACAGCTTCCATCCCTCCTGAAACCTGGCCCAGAACGAACACCTTCACCCAGTCTGCGAGAATCTGGACACACAGCGGTCCTCGTAAGTCTTTGCTCCTTACACCTTCGCTCTGCATTACTCCTGCGGTCTGGGGCCAAGTGACCGACTGTCCTAGGAGCGATCCCTGCTCCTGGGGGTACGTCCTTCTTTCCTCACAAGAGCTGCCCTGTTCCAGGAAAACTGGGCACAGCCGATGAGAATCCTCACCCAAGATCGGAAGCTCCTGGCCCTTTCTGTAACCCTGAATCGCAAGCTGGACCTTTTGTAAACGCAAACTGGTGCTACTGAGAGTGCAGGCAAGGCTGCAGGGTGCCAGCGGGACCTGGACGCCTTCATTCGGGCGCCAGGCTCATAGGTTCTCCATAAACAATGAATGCCCAAATGCAAGGCCAAGTTCACTTGAAAGCATTACTCCCCGGGAGAGGTCAGGGCTCCTGTAGCTACTGTGGCCGCCTCGCTCCCAGGTTTGAGGCTGGGCAGAAGATGGGGCAGGGAGTGCATCTGCACTTTCGCTATCAGGGCTTCAGTCACCTCCCAGAGAGCGTTACGCGGTTACCATGGGGACGCGACACTGACCACTGGTGGCCGGGAGGACTAAAAGGGACCTGAGTGGGGACAAACGAGGTTCCTCCCAGGAGAGAAGAACCCATCCACGAGCGCCCCAAAGCCAGTTTCCGCCGGTCTTACCGAGGCCTCGCCAGACCCTTCACGTCGGAGACGAAAACACGAAGCTTCGCTGGGTAACAAGCGCGAGGACGCGCTGGTTCGCATTCCATGCATACAGACGGAGCAGGAGTCACCCCGCGTTCAGTCACCGAAGGCGTTTCCTCCGTCACCAGCCCCTCCCGCACGGAGCATCCCTCTCACGGGTCACCCACACCCAAGCGCACTCCCGCACGGCTCACTCGCTGCGTCCTCCCAGCCTGCGCCCGGGAGAGCATCCGGGGCCGTCTTCTCGCGATGTCGCGGCCGCAAACGCGAACTACAGAGAAACGCGAACTACAGAGAACGGCGCAGCGCACATGCGCAGAAGGCCCCGCGCGGCTCCAGCATCTGACTTCGGAGCGCCCTGTGAGTCCCAAACCCCTGGAGCCACCTCGTTGGCAATCAGCCTTCAGTCTTAGGGGGAATCAACCTTCAGGCTTAGGATACATTGGGTAGAAATGCCCGATTTAGCAAATAACGTACAAGAAGGAGACACTGACTACAGTTTGATTCATTGTTTATACGAAATACGTTTTAACATCTAAATAAACACCGCTTTCATTAATTCTATTTCCTTGAATTGGCTCTCCTATAATTTCCTTCCATTGCAGAACGCACTTGCAGAATTTCTTCCCGGGACAGTCTGTGTTCCATTTATATTGTAACATCGACAGCATCATCCCTCTTACCTCATTCTTCGTCCGTTCAGACATTCATTGATGAGAAAGCATACTCGATTTAGCATTATGCGTGGCCAGGAATCACCATTCTTATCGCCAAAATTGTTAGGGAAATATAATTTAAAACAAAATCTTCTCCAAACCTAGAAAACTTACCAACTCAGGCAGAAGACAAATAAAACAATGTTATCATTGAATGGCGGGATACATATCACAGACATTTCAAAGGCAGAAACAAACAATCCAAAGACAAAGAAATCTCACCCTTTTTTTATAGCCAAGAAGATACAAAGCATTACATAAATGTTGCAAAGATAAATAGTTGCAAAGGTAAAAAAACAATAAATAGTTCTTAAGTAGGAGGATTTGACAGCACCATTTACAAACATTGTTTGGCCTAAATTTACCTGGTAATTAGGATGACACATGTGTTAGTTTATTGGTTTTACAAGTTAAAAAACAAGCTTCTCAAATCTTTATGATAGGAGGTAGTTTTGCAACTTGGATCAAGGCCCCCACCACCATAGTTTAGGCTCCTACCCTCTCACAGAAACTGGGAGACAGAAGTGCCAACTCCCTATTACATTTCAAACAGATGGTTCTGAGGTCCTTGGGAAAGACATTCTAGGTTGAAAAATGCCAAGAGATATTAAGATTTCTGGTTCATTCTCAAAGGAGCAGAAAAAATATATTTACAAAAGAAAATAATCTAGAATATTGCCACTTCCTGTATTTTTAGCAGAATATAAAGCCTCTTATTTTTAATTTGTATACGCCTTTACACACTCTTACCACTTATGGTTAATATTGTATGGATAATGTTCTAAAAAGGACAATTAGAGAATAAAATGGACTAAAGTCATCCAGATTGGAAAAAAAGTGGTAAAACTATCTCTCTCTGCAGATGACATCATCTTCTATGTAGAATATACTTAGGAACCTGACAAAAAACATCAGAACTAATATCTGATTGCAACATGTTTGCAGGGTACAAGAGCAATATGTTAATGGAAAATGAATTTGTGTGCATTAGCACTGAGCAATCCAAAAACAAACAAAAAGTTCTTAGAAATGAATTTAACAGGAGCACCAGCGTGGCTCAGTTGGTTAAACATCTAACTTTGGATCAGGTCATGATCTCACAAACTCCATAAGGAATGTGGGGAGACTGGGAAAATCTCTGAAGAAGGGCACTCACAGGAGAGCCTGTTGATTTCGAGGGACTGATTCTAGAGCCTGTTTTTGGAGAGGGCCCTATACAAGTTGGGTCAATTTGAAAGTAATGGCATCAGTAAAATTAACCGTGTAAGTGGGGAATATGATGCCTGCAGAATCTCAACGGACAAAATGATGCTGTATTTATATTAGCATTGTGTGCTAAGAACACACAATAAAAAAAACAGTCAATAGTGGTTTCATGACAGTGGCAGGGATGCAACAGCACCAGGTTTACAAGTAATTTCCAGGAATTTCACGGAAGCTGATCTTTGCAGTATGTATGATGAAATGAATTCTCCACTTTTGTCAGTTCTTTTGATGTAAATGTCACTAATGCGTGGGTGAACTCTCTCTTCAGAGGATGGGGTTGCCAACATAGTATCATGCCTGTGCTCCTAAAGAAACCTGGGTGCAATTAAGGCATTGCCTGCAAAGACTATGTGCAAAGGTTGCTGGGATATCCCATTGGTAGCCTGCTAAAGATACGCTGTGCCCCTTTGGAGGTGAAGGCAAACTGTGGCTGAGGCTGCTGAAAAGAGCACTGAAAAGAACGTATTAGTCAAACCCTGAACAAAATATGTACTGGTTGCTATTTACATGACGGCAGTTATTTCAGAAACAGCGGACAGATCGGTTCTGAATAAGTTCTGGATAGATCGGCCATAGCACTGAGGATGCGGTAATCCACTGAGAAGCGCCATCGGTTTTTCCAGGTTGAAGAACACAGTAAACTGGAGTATTAAATGGAAAGGCAGTAGTGATAATCACATCTTCTCTAAACATGTCTTTACAATGGTTTCAACTGGGGTATACAGTACACGGGGTCCCATTTTGAAAACCCAAATTGTAAGTGCCAGAAGTTTATATTCACTAGACTGGAGCCTACCATGGGAGAGTGATACAATTAGGCCGATGGGTGTTGTGACCAGGGAGAACTCAGGCAGCAGTTCTGTGGGCTAAGAGAAAACAGACCTAATCATCCTGAATGTCTCAGGTTGTTCATGCAGTTCAACAAGATACCACAGCCCGGGTGGCTTATACACAACAGAAAATTTATTTCTCACAGTTCTGGAGGACTTCAAGTCCAAGATGAAGCGGTATCTGCGTCTGGGGAGGGCCCGCCTCCTGTTTCACAGATGGCGTCCTTTTCCTCTGCCATCACTTCGCATAAGCCAACGACTTTGCTGGAGGCTCGTGGAGACACGTATCCCACTCATGAGAGCGCTGCCCTCCTAACCTTTCATGCCCCGAAGGTCCCACCTCCAGACACTGTCACACTGGGGACTCAATTCAACATGAGTTGTGGGGAAACAAAGATATACAATCTACCGCACTCCATTTTATAGTCAGTAACTCCTCTAAGACTTTAGGGAATGACATGATCAAATTACTGGAATGCCCAGATATAGCTGTAATTCCCAGATATAGCTGTAATTCAAGCCTGAGCTAACGCCACGACAATTTGTCGTTGGTGCATTTCAGCAGATATTTAAGTCAATTCAGAAACCATCCAGTGAAGATAAAAAATCAGTAAGTGCCCTCTTATAGTTTGTTGTATAAATTATTTTAGTACAGTTTGGACTCCCAATTGGGACAATCTGTGTGCCTTAAGTCATTTCGTTGTTTCCTTTTCTTGTATCTAAGTCCCTCCCACCCCTCATTCTTGCCAATTCTTTCCGTTTTGTTATTACTCAATATACCTCAGTGGTTTTCTATTTACTCTGATCAACTTTACAAGTTCCCTTCCCCAGAGAGTCTTCAGACAGAATCTCCGGGCTCATGAGCCCACTCCATGGCAGTGGTTACATTGCTTCATGTGGATTAAGGATCCTGGGCTTACGCTGCATTTTAATTAGCCCCTTTGCTGTGCCACAGGTGAGTGTTTCCCCTCTTAGCAGGAGGATGAGAATTTTTCTCAACAGAGACACAGGCAACAGAGGGGAGCGGCGAAGAGCATCCTTAGCCCATAATGCAGCGGTTGACTTAATGTCTTCTGTAGGACTGCTTTTTTTTATCAACAATACACATTTTCTTCTCTCTCTTTCTCTCTGCACAAATTCCCTCACAATATTTTGGATTTTGAGCCATGGAAAGTCGCAGCTTTCAGTTTCTGTCCCTATCCAGTCACCTGAGAGGCATGGACCTAGGTGGTTACAAGGGAAAATGCCAGAGCCCAGCTGTCAGCCTCATGGGCAGCTGCTGCTTCCTCCAGGGAATGCCAGTCTATCTCCCTGGGGTCAAGGTTCACAAAGAAGGTCATTCTGTCAAGGCACGGGTCAAGGCCATCAAGCCCCAGGACTCCGAGGTTAGGCCTGTGGTGTAGAGAAGACAGCAGTGCTTCGTAAACCAAAGTTCACTGGCTGAGGATTCTGTATTAGGGCAGTTGAGGCCATTCCTCTGGTAATTTGGAAGAGGTCCCTGTTCTTTCTCATTGGCTTCTGGGCCACAGGACACCACATACGTGCACCTCAACACCTCTGGGCATCAGGCAGCAGGGGAAGGAGTAGCGAAAGAGATGGAGAAGGCTGCTGCCCTCACCTGAACCACCGCTCATCAGACTCCCACCCCAGCGATGCACAAGGACAAACAATGGTGTGCACGGGTACCCTGAGCAGCCAGGGACGGCCATCAGACTGTACGCCATAGCCAGACAGTTCTAGCCAGGCCCTCGCTAGGTGGGGTTCAGATGCTGACCAGCTGGGGTGCTGAGTTGTCACTGCCCTGACAGGCTAGACCATCACAGAACACCAGCCAAACTGACTGAACTCGGAGGCCAGGCACCCGGGGTACAGCTGATTAACAATTCTTAGGGACAAGAGCTTTATAGGGCGGGAAGAAACAGTGACAGCCAGAAAAGGCAGTACAATGCACATCAAGAGGCAGGTCTGCCAGCAACTGGTAGCTCGGTCCCAGGTGGCCTTTGTCTATCTCAGAACTCGGTAGTCAAGAACAATCAGTTGATAACTAGATGAACTCGATCTTACCTGGTGACCTGGGTCTTGGAGGGACCATGATGTTTGTGATGCCCACTGTACTAACTGCCTCCTACTCAGATGGTTCACTCCATGTTTCAGATGTCAAAAGAGTCTATTATACTAGGCCTTAATTTCAGACCACAGTTACTGTAATTAAAAATAATCTGAAGACTATAAAAACAGCTCAAATGTTCACTACTGGTGATTATATTTGTAGTGCAGGAACATAGGACAAAAACCTTTCTATAGAAACAAGATGCTATGAAGAGAGGTAACTAATTTATGTTACTTCCAGAAAAGACAATAAGGCTTACAAGAACAGAAAGCTGCAAATGAAAATAGGCTTTAGTGATTGTGGGCATATGATTACCGAGAATGCATTCTGCCTCCCACAATGCGAAAGGTAGTACTGAATAATGCATTTCTAATTTTGTAAATATAGAAAAAACACCTTCAGTGCCGGAGGCGCCGGCTCCGGCATATCCAGGGGTCCCTGAAGGATGGACGGTGTCGGTGAGAGAGAGAGAGAGAGCCCTGAGATTCTTTCTGATCACCAGGCAGGCATCTCTGTCCTTTCGGTTTTTGTGTCTTTAGTTAAAGGTTCAGCAACAAGATGAAGTCAGAGAAAGGAATTTCTTACAATGGGAGGCCTTTTGCGGTATCAATTGCAGAATTATTCCGATCAAGGAAATAACAGAATAAACTTAGTGAAAAATAGGATAACATATAGGTCAAATTGTATATAGATAAGCTAGGAGTATTTTGTCTGGCTCTCAAGAGGATGAATGTTTCTGAATTGGTTGGTTTGTGGAGACTATCATGAGGGCCCTGAATGGGTCAGTCTTTTGCCCCTGGGTTATGTTTTAGCTACTCTTATCTATCCTCATCCCAGCTGCCAGTGTAAGAGAGGGTGTTTGTGGAAAGTAGGCCTTGAGGAAGGGACTTTATGTTTCACCAATTAGCAAAGATATATGTGGTAACTATGTTTTGCTCTAAACCCCAAAATAGGCCCTTGGTCCCAGGGCCAGGCTCAACTGTAATTCTTGTGTTCTTAACCCCCTAAGTCTCGGATCTGCAAGGCCCATAGGAAGAGCCTTTTGACAATCACCCACAGAGCTTTCATCTAAAATCTCTTTTTAAAGCCAGGAATATGCTTTTCCTTATGAGGTATCTGTATTCAGAATATGGGTCTGATAAGGAATATTGTGAGGCCTGGTCAATATCAGCAGGCTTATATCCAACATGAGCCAGTAGTAGCAGAAGGAGATACCAGTTTTCATTTCTCATGGCAGGAGCTGCAAAGATTGCCACTTCCTTGCTGTGACTGCCATCCAGAGAGGCCGGTGCGGCTACCCGGCACTTCAGGGATTCATCTGTAATGCTATACGCAGGCAGGATGGTTCATTTATTTCCTACACTTTACATTTTAGTGTAGTTTTACAGTTACAGAAAAATGAAGCAGAAAGTAGACTTCCTATATAACCTTTCACCCTTGCACCTCTACAGCTCCCTATTATTCATATCTTGCAGTCGTGTGGTACATTTGTTACAAATGATGAGCCAATATTGATACATGAATACTAACTAAAATCCACAGTTCACATTAGGGCTTACCCTTTCTATTACATTTTATAGGCACTAGTAAAGGAACATGTTACCTATCTTTGTAATATCCTACAGCATACTCTCACTGTCCTAAAAGTCCTCTATTACCCACCTATTCATCCTTCCCTCCTTTGACCGAATCCCTGGCAATCACTGATCTTTTTAGTGTTTCCACACGTGCCTTTACAGAATGCACTATAATTAGAAACTTAAGGTGGAAAGCCTTTTCAGATTGGCTTCTCTTATTTAAATAACAGTGTGCATAAAAAGGCTCCTGCGTGCTTTTGTTACCTAATAGCTCATTAGTTTTTACCACTCACCCAATCACTGCATCCTGAAACCTGGTTACTCATGTCAGGGTGTTTTATTGTGGACTTCTAGAAATGTTTTACATGGACATCATGTTATGTGTGTGATTCTAACAGTTTTCTCTCCTCCTTCCCAATCCAAGTTTCTCTCCTTCACTGGTCATACTGCGTCAGTGAGGAATTCCAAAAGGAGGATGAAAGAGCAGGCACTGGGACCTCCTTTCCCTTCTCCTCCTCTTACTCAGAATGCATCTAGTTTCTTGCCATTAAGTACTATATTAGCTGAAGGGCTGCCGTAGATGTTCTTTACCAAGTTAAAGTTCCCCATACTCCCAGTCTGCTGAGATTGTGATGATTATAGGAGTATTTCTCTTTCACACTCTTGATGTGGCAGGAGACTTTAACTGATCATCAAATGTTGAACCAGCACAGCACACCTGGAAAAAATCCCACTTGGTCATGGCATGTAACTGTGTTTTGTTGGATTCAACTTGCTAATGATTTGTTGAGGATCTCAGCATCTATGTTCCGAAACATACAGGCCTATAGCTTTCCTTTTTCAAAAAATTTTAAAAGTAATCACACCCAACATGGGCTCGAACTCAGGACCCTGAGATTAAAAGTTTCATGTTCTACCGTGTGCACCAGACAGGAAACCCTGTTCCTTTCCTTTCCTGTAATATCTCTGCCTGGCTTGCTACTATAATAAGCATCATAGAATGAATGAGTCAGAAAGGATTTCTTCTACTCCTACTTTTAGGAAGAGGCTGTAGAGAACTGGTTATCATTTCTTCCTTCCTTTAGTGTTTCCTAGAATTCACCAGTGAACACATCTGGGCCGGACACTTTCTGACTTAGAAGACTAAGGATGAACTCAATTTCTTTAAGAGACAGATGCCTATACAGATTTATACTTCTGTGAGTTTTGTCAGATTGTGCCTTTCAAGGAATAGGTCCAGGTTACGAAATTTGTGGGCACAAGTTGTCCATAACATTACTATCCTTTTAATGTCCATGCAATCAATTATGTCCCTCTCTGATATTGGCAACTTTATCTGCCCTTTTTCTTAGTTAACTTCCTTAACGGTTTATCGAATTTATTGACCTTTTCAAATAATCAACTTTTGGTTGATTGGTTTTGTCTTTTCAAAGATTTCACGGATTTCTCCTCTAATACTTATTATTTCTTTTGTTTTCTTACTTTGGACTTAATTAGTTTTTTTTTTTTGTTTTTTTTTTTGTAGTTTCCTAAGATGAAAGCTTAGAATATCTGTGCAACTTAAATTTAAGGTCATTAGTTGTGTAACCTGATTTATGAAATTGGATCATGAAATGTAGTATCACCATTCCACCCTGTCAGTCCAGAAAAGCTTCACTCTGGCTCTGCTCTAGTCTCAAACCTCCTCATATAGTCAAATATCTGCAAAGGCCCAGAACTGTCTCTAGGTACACTGGACCCCTGATTTTACAGCCAAGTTTACATCCCTGACTGTCATATAGTCTGTCTGTGGCTTCTATTCTGAACTCTGCCTTAGAGGCAGTTACTTACAGTGGTTGGTACAAAAATGAGTATGAGGGATGGAGGATTCACATATACACTCAAGGCACGCCATGACTTGAAAAGGGAAAATGAGAGTATGGACTAGATAGATAACCCTTTGTACAGAACACATTTTATTTTCCATTTTGTTATTTTGATTTATGTATTATAAATGGTTACATGTTAGCTTTGTCGGCCTCCTTTCCACAGGTTCCTCTAGGCCTCGACATACATGGGAGATGTGCCTAATATTTTAACAACTGAAGTAGGAGGGTCTATTTTTGATTCACAATCATACTAACTTTCACTATGCATATGGGGAACAGACACAGTTTAAAGAAGAGATCATTTGTAGATCCAGGAGTCCTGTAAACTTAAGGGATAGGTCACATAAGCATTTAACGGTGTTGCCCGAATTATTCAATTTATCTCTGGTTTTTAAAAGCTTCATATTCACATGAGTTGCCAGGATTAGGGTTGCAGAAAGGGTATGGTTATTAACAAATGGAAACTTCCTCTGTGAAATCCTGATTCCTTTGTAATCCTAATGCAATACAGATTAGAGATTCTTTTTTGATTTTGTAGCCTGTGTTGACGCGTACTCACACTGTAAGTGACAACATTTTGTAAACTTCACATACACACAAAGTGCATGTAAAAACTGCTGAAGTGTCAATGACTGTGACTCAGCAGTATGGTACCGTCCACATTTTTGCTTGAGAATATACCTTGGTTATGTAAGATATCTTTACAGGAAGCTCGGGGAAGGGCACATGAGAATTCTATGTATTACTGGAACTTCTTTTAAGTTTATTCTCTCAGTTTACTAGTTTTGTTTGTTTGAACACTGCGCAATACTCACCTGAAATACAACTTCTCATTTCCTGAAGACAAATATGGCATCAAAGCCACAAGACAATTTCCAATGTAATATTACTTCTAAAGACAACACTCAAGCTGTAGGTCTCAATTGAAAGATTTTCTGAAATAACCTAGTTTGTATTTTTGCTTAAAAACAAAAAAAAATCCTTACAAAGAATCAAGAAATCTGCAAGGATTTATGCCCACATTTACTAGAGAACATTGAACGGAATATTACTTAATATACTGTCCTGTGTGTGTTGCAGTCTACTTCGGGTAAAATAAGGCCAGTTTGTGGACAAAGGTTACTCAACATTCAGGATGTCACCACTGGTTCCTCCACAGAGTGAGTGCTCAGAAGCATAGCAGCTGCTCAGCCACAGATCAACATTCCTAACACCCACTGCAATCATCAGGTTTTCCTCTTGTGTGGGTTCTCTGATGTACAAGGAGGTTTGACTTCTGAGAAAAGGTTTTTCCACATGTGTTACATTCATAGGGCTTTTCGCCTGTGTGTGACCTCTGATGGTTAACAAGATTTGATTTACGGTAAAAAATTTTCCCACATTCATTACACTGACAAGATTTCTCCCCTGTGTGAGCCCTATAATGAACTCTGAGGGATGATCTCTGACTGAAGGATTTCCCACATTCGTTACACTCATAAGGTTTCTCCCCTGTGTGTTTTCTCAGATGTACAATAAGTCCTGATCTGACACAGAAAGATTTCCCACACTCATTACATTTATAGGGCTTTTCCCCTGTGTGAGTTCTCTGGTGCACAATTAGAGCTGACTTATCACAGAAAGCCCTTCCACATTCGTTACATTCATAGGGTTTCTCCCCTGTGTGTTTTCTCTGGTGTAAAGTTAGTCCTGACTTCACACAGAAAGATTTCCCACATTCATTACATTTATAGGGCTTTTCTTTTGTATGAGTTCTCTGGTGCACAATTAGAGCTGACTTATGACAGAAAGCCTTTCCACATTCGTTACACTCATAGGGTTTGTCACCTATGTGGATTCTCTGGTGCTGAGTGAGCTGAGACTTCTGGCAGAAAGCTTTCCCACATTCATTACACCCGTAGGGTTTCTCCCCTGTGTGTATCCTATTATGTTTACTTAGGGACGATTTATTATAGAAGATTTTTCCACATTCGTGACACTCAAAGGGTTTCTCCCCTGTATGTGTCCTACAATGTTCAGAGAGGGTAGATTTACGGCTGAAGAATTTCCCGCATTCACGACACGCAAAAGGTTTCTCCCCCCTGTGAATTCTCTGATGCCCTGTGTGGTCAGAATTCAAGCAGGTTTTCCCACATTCAAAACATTCGTAAGGTTTCAACTCAGTATGAATTTTCTGATGCCTGGTGAGTACTGACTTGTGGTAGAAAGTTTTCCCACATGCATTACATTTGTAGGGCTTATCCCCTAAGTGAGTTCTCTGATGCTGTGTAAGATAAGACTTCTGACGGAAAGATTTCCTACAGTCAGGACATTCAAATGGTTTCTCCCCTGTATGAATTCTCTGATGCACTATAAGGTGAGAATTCATCCAGAAGGATTTCCCACATTCATAGCATTCATAAGGTTTCGGCCCTGTGTGTGTTCTCTGGTGTTTGGTGAGGTCTGACTTCTGGTAAAAAGCTTCCCCACATGTGCTACATTGATAGGGTTTCTCCCCTGTGTGAATTCTCTGGTGTACCGTGAGGGTTGACTTGTGGCTGAAGGCTTTCCCACATTCATTGCACACATAGGGCTTCTCTCCTGTGTGTGATCTCTGATGTTTCAGGAGGTCTGACTTCTCCCAAAAGGGTTTTCCACATTCATTACACTGAAAGCGTTTCTCTCCCGTGTGTGTCCTTTGATGTCGAGTGAGGTGGGACTTGTGCCAAAACGCTTTCCCACATTCATTACATTCGTAGTGTTTCCCTCCTTTATGTGTTTTCTGAAGTTGTGAAAGGCATGAGTCATCCCTGAAACGATCCCCACTCTCATGACACTCAGAGTGTTTCGTAGGTGCTCCATCGGGTTTCAAAAGGCTAGACTTCAAACATAAAGACTTCCCACAACCACCAAATCCACAGTGATTTTCCTTGGAAGCATCCATGTGAGGTAACTGGAAGGAGGAGTTATGAAAAAAACTTCTCCCATATTCAAGACATTCAGAGTCATTCTCTTCAGTCATCTCTCTCTTGTATGTACTCAATATTGCCTTTTCAGGGAAAGTTTCTTGATACATGTTATATTCCAAATTTTGCTCTGCACTTTGAATCTTCTCATGACCAACGGGGTTCTCATCAAGACTGAAAGTTCCCCCATTTTTACAAAAATCACTTTGCTCACTAGGAGTTTTCTCACATTTAATACTGAGTAGCAATTTTCCACAGGCATCAAATGCATCATTCTGTTTTCCTAAATGTCTTTTCTTATTGATACACAATTCTGAAATACAGCTGAAACTCATTCCACATGAATCACACTGACAGAGGGTTTCTCGGCAAGAAAACGAATTTGTGTCCAGGTTAAATGGTTTTCCTATTAGAATACCTTGCTCCTTGGCCAGTGTTTTGTTACTGATGCGTGCAACTTCCCACACAGGCTTACGCTGGTTTTCTTGGCTCCTTTCTTTCTGGTGATCGGTTTCCCAGACTTCTAAAGATAAGAAAAATGAACCATACACATAAATACTGACACATTTCTTCTGGAATGCAACATCTATAAAAATGCCTTAAGATTCAGAAGATTTTGATTTCTTGTCTAGTCTCCAGGGAAGAAGATAACTGTAAGTACTTATTTTTTCTATTTCGTCAGTTTGACATAAAAAACACAAAAATGAAAACAAGAAACAAAAAGCCTGGCAGGGAGAAAAAGGAGAGGAAACAATTACAAGCATACACCTGCATTCTGATATCTGAGGAGTCATGGCAGCTACTAAATTCTGAGCGTCTCCATCTATCCTCCTAATACCTCTAAGCATAATATAAGGAGACAAATAAAATTACCAATCAACAACCCATGACTTCAGCATAACTAGGGAATACAAAACACTACTAACTTCAAATCACCACTGAGGAAATAAACACTTAAATACAGGGGAAACAAAGGATCTAGAGCCCACAGCTATGGAAAGAGTTAGTTTGAGCCCGTGGCAACTACAGGTAGAGGAAGAGACAGAGAGCTTAGAGATAATTTAATGCAAATAGAATCACTCCCAGAAAGGGGAAGTCCCACCGTGAGAGGGAAAATAAAGAGCTGACATCTTAGTTCTGACAGATGACAGCTCAGATCCCCGAAGACTCCAACAGACCGGGTTTGTAGGATATGGGAACTCCAGAGGCAAGGGCTGATTAGGGTGAGGAATACAACTATAAAAAGGCCAGAGTGATCTTAGAACACAACTCAAATTACAAGAACTTTCTCATGAGTTGGACTGTCCCCCTCCTAAATTCATATGTTGAAGCCCTAATCCCCAATGTTGCTGCATCTGGAGACAGAGCTTTTAAGGAGGTTAATTAAGGTTAAATCACATCATCAAGGGATAGCACTAATCGGATAGGAAACATACCCATATCAGAAGCAGAAGAGACACCAGCACCTGCTGGCTCTTCCTGTGTGCAGGAAAAAACCCATGTGAGGAAACAGCCAGAAGGTGCTGTCTGCAAGCTGACGAGAGAGATTCACCAGAGGGCACCTTGCAGGCACCTTCATCTTGGCCTTACAGCCTCCAGACCTGTGAGAAAGTTAGTTTCTGCTACTTAGGCCACCCAGTCTGTGTGTTTTGTTAGAGCAGTCCCAGAAGACTAAAAGAGCACCCAAAAAGAAAAGAGACTTGAATGAAATTTGAATAAACAGCATGGAAAAAAAGCATGACAACATGGCAGATAGAAGAATGACAGTAAAACCAAAGAAAGAAAACTGGATCACAAAGAAATTTCAGGATAAACAGGGAATCTGCAAAATAAACACATATTTTAAAATAAATTATATGTATGAGCTTATTCTCTAAAGAGAAAAATGAAAGCAATGGAATATACTATTAAAAACTGTAATCTCAGAAAATTGCCCAGAGGTAAAAGAAGACCTGACCCACATGTTTAAGGACCAGCATGACCCCAGGAAAGCTTCCTGGAATAGTCCTCTCTAAGATGTGCTGAAATCAAACTACTAAACCTTAAAAATGAAGAAATCTCTTCAGGGCAAAAAGATTAAGTCTCAATAAGCAAACAAAAATGCAGATTTGGCAAGAGACTCTGCCACCAATAAACAAAGCGAGGCTCAGTAGAGCAACATTTTCAAGAAAAAAAAATAGAAGTCAAGCATTTCATATCCAGCCACATGATCCTGGATCCATAGTATCCTGGCTACTAGAAGAAGCCAATCATATTAGATATGCAAGAAATCAGGTAATAATGTAATGATGGAATCCCTGGGAAGAAGACAAACTTCAAGCAACCGAGATTTGATAGGAAACACTGGCAGAAAAGCTGAGCAGTGTAGGTCTAAGATCAAAAGAAAGTTAAGAACAATAATACAAGAGTACTATATAAATGTTATATATTCCAGTGAAACAAACAATGCAACTAAAAAGCCTACTGGAAACAGGAAAAAAGGGAAGAAATAAGCAATAGCTCAGAGAGAGACAGAGAATAGTCTAAAGAAGATCACGAAAAGCTGAAAAATTAAATAGACGGTTAAATACGGAAATGAACTAAGGCCAGTATAAAAGACATTTTTGTAAAAGTAACTACTAGAACAAAACCATCTAAGTTTTATAACTGACCGCCTCCAAAATGATCAAGACAAAAGATCAAACAGAATGATTCGGTAAATATGATACACTCATGAAATGTAACAAAATGACAGAAACTTGACCAAACAGGACCCGTGTCAGTAAATATGAATGGGCTTAACTCACCAATTAATAAAATGACTTCAGTCACAAACAAATTCCAAATCTCTGCTATAAAGAGGAAACACAGGCAGAAAATGACTCAAAAAACTAAAAACAAAGGAATAGGCAATATTATTCCAGGCAAAGGGAAAAAATAAGGAAACGGATACAATCTAGTTATCAGAAAGGACAGAAAACAAAACCAAAACAAGACTTTAAGAGGCTAAATCCACAACTCTGAATATGCAAATAACAGTGAGTGGTATCAAAAGACCAAACAACTTTAATGAAGCAGAACTTAGAGAAGCAAGGAAAAAATAAAACAGACTGATAAAAAGAGTATGTCAAAAAGTCAGAAAGCACCTGACCTTGCTCGGAGTGTAAAAGGCACAACGACAACAATCAGGAAGACATCTATTATGTAATTTTATAATATCACAACTTGTAATACAAAATACACTTACATCTCAAGGGTGCACAAAACATTAAAAAAAAAAAAAAAAAAAACTGAAAAGGTTCCATGCTCAGGGAACAATGTGCTAAAACTAGAACTTATTAGGAAAGAACAAGCTTTTCCATCAGGACTTCAAAACCAGTGAACTCTCTAGTAAACTGCTCTTTGGTGAAAAGGTAAACACAAACCAAAGCTTAAGTTCTAAACAAAAAAAAAAACGAGTAAAAAGATTACTTACAAGCATATGTGGGATACACGTACTGATCAGAGATTTCATAGCATTAAATGTTTTGTATTAGTGAAAATGGATGAAAAATAAGTGAATCCCTAACTCAAAAAATAAAAACACTAGAAGAAGGCAACAGTAATGTAAAAGAAGTAAGTATAAAGCAAAAAGAGGTAAGAAATAAAGGTAGAAACATATAAATACAAGAATAAATTTAAAATAACATAAAGGGGCCTGGCTGGCTCAGAGGGCTTAGAGTCTAAGTATTGATTTTGGCTCAGATTAAGATCTCAGTTTGTGAGTTCAAGCCCTCTGCACTCTCAGTGCAGAGCCTGCTTGGGATTCTCTGCCCCTTCCCTGCTCATGTGTGCACTCTCAAAAAAATAAATAAGCTTAAAAAATAGTAATACAGATAAAACTTTTATTTTTAAGGTCAGGTAGTTTCGCTAAAGGATGTCTTAGAGTGAACCATTCCAAGTCAGTTTTCCCAGGTGCCTGATGGTCTCTCTGAATATGTGGATCAGGTCATCTTCTATTTTTCAAAAATTTACTTAGAAGTTAATGAAACAGAAACAGAAAAACAGTAGAATAAGTGTTACATCAAAAAGCTACTTCTTTGGGGGATACCTGGAGGGCCCAGATGGCAGAGTGTGCAGCTCTGGGGCTCAAGGTTATGAGTCTGGGCCCCATGTGGGTGTAGAAAGGAATAAAGTCTTAAAAAAAAAAAAAAAGCTGATTCTTTGAAAAGTAACAAAGGAGGCAAATCATAGGCTAACGTCAACAAAAACAAGGGAATAAAATCTCAACTGTGCAAATCGAGATTCAATTAAGGAAGAAACAACCATTGAAACATGGTATGAAAAAATCATAAAGGCTACTTTTGTTCAACTTTATATACAATTGAAAGAAATGTAGCAAATAATTTACTAACAAAATACCACTTATCAAAATACACCTAGTAGAGACAAGATGTAAATAGAATAACTTCCACATCAGAAACAGAAACTACTGAGATTGCCTGAGCCATAAAATATTCACTTGCATCCTTCCCCCCGAGATTCACGAATTGTTAAATTTTTGCCACAGTTGCTTTATCTTTCTCTATATAAAGACTTCTTAAACATGAACTATTTGCATTAAATGCAGACATCATGACCTGTTATTTCAAATATGTCAGCATGTATCTCCTAAGAAGGAAGACACGACCACACTCAAGAAAACTGTCCGATGATACTACATCATCCATCATATAATCCATTCAAGAGGAGCAACAGCTTGAAAATATCTATGTGCTTTTCGGCTACACAAATCCCCTACCTTCACTTGTAAAATCCTCCATCATTAGAGGTACAGCTATCATGAAAATGGGTTTCATCAAAATTGTCTTCTTTAAATAAAATTTTCCACATAGGTTCTGAAATTTGTTAATATATCTCTGCAGTATGCCTGTAATGTCTTCCTCTAATTTTGGTATTACGAAAATGCTGGACCCAAAGAATGAATTCGTATACCCTTCTTCTGGATTTTCTGGAAGAGTCTGGTAAAACTGGTGTTGTTCCACACGTGGCAGAACTCACTAATGAGGCCCCTGTACCTGGGTCTTCTTTGTGGAATGGTTATCTATTTCTTCTGAAGCGAGCTTTGGTATTTGTTTCTTTGAAGGAAACTGTCCATTTTGTCTAAATTGTTGAACTCATAAGGTTAGGGGCATAATATTTCCTTATCTGACTTGTAGTATTTGTAGAATCTTTGATGATATTGCACTCCTAGTTTTGATATTAATAATTTGACTCAGGATGCCTGGGTGGCTTAATTGGTTAAGCATCTGACCTAGGTTCAGGTCATGATCTCATGGTTCGTGAGTTTGAGCCCAGTGTTTGGTGCTTTGTGCTCAGAGTCTGGAGCCTGTTTCAGATTCAGTGTCTACCTCTCTCTCTGCAACTCCACCAGTCGCACTCTGTCTCTATCTCAAAAATAAATGGACATTAGGGGAGCCTGGGTGGCTCAGTCGGTTAAGTGTTTGATTTCAGCTCAGGTCATGATCTTGGCGTTCGTGGATTCGAGGCCCACATCGGGTTCTGTGCTGGCAGCTCAGAGCCTAGAGCCTGTTTCAGATGCTGTGTCTCCCTCTCTCTCTGCCCCTC